TCCCTAATTCATATATCTTATTTGACCAGATGTTTTTCGTAATATTTTTCTACTTTAAAGTGGTAGTAGTACAGTTTTTACCATTACCCTCATTTTTGGCACTTTTCTTTCTTTGGATATTTTATTATTGTTTTGCTGGCCCAAGTTTTTGGCTCGTTATAAATCACAAGTCTGAATCCATTGAAGATTTATGAGCTGCTAAATATGCTGGCGAAACAACAGGCGAGGGTCGTAGCCTGGACATTTTGGCCAAAAAACTTTGTCCACATATCAAACTTTAAAACGCAATTATCATATATGTGTGTATGATAGATGGAGTGATGTGTACCCTGCCACAGAGTCTGTATTCTTCTTCAGTGTTGTTTTTTACTTGCGCAGATAAACAAAACAAGGTCCTAAATAAACAAAATGAGAAAAAGAATAAGCACAAAATGAGTAAAAAGTTGCACCAGACAAAAATACAATTTGATTTTAATTGAAAAATAGCAACAACAATATAAGCAACCCCGAACGTAGAAAATGAAGGTGCAGATGGATGAGAAATGTCTGGATGTGTTAAAGAAAATCCTTTCGGATATGTGGTTAATAAAATAGGGCTTTTAAAGAATGGCAAGAATTTGCTTCATTTTTGTAAAGGGTTATTAAAAAAAAGGCTGTCACCTTTGCCCTGAAAGCTTATGGAAATTAATCCAATTAATGGCAAATACTTTTTGACCACCCTTAAACCCTTTCCGTACCACCGTGTCCTTAACCCAACCGCACTTTAAATGCCATTAACAAAAGCACAAACAATTTTTACACTTTGCGTGCCAAGAAGCAAAGACAAACAACAACAAACTAGCCCTACAAAAATAAGAGCAAGCTAAACAACAAAAACACCCAGTAAAATAGCAACAAACTGAAATTTCTTTTTATTTATTTTTTCAACAACTTTTTACCTTTTTTTCCCAACTCATTTTCAAGTGTTTCCACTTAGTTGGCTGTTGTTGTTGTTGGGCCAGGCCATTAGGATGGGACGATGAGGTCAGGGAGTTGGGTTCTCGGCAATCTTGATGGGGTTAGCATTGTTTTTGTTGACTTAAGTCAACAAGGTCGAGGGTTAATGAAAGTTGGCTTGAAAGCTTCGATGTTGCTTCACGGTGTGCTGCTTAAGTTGTTGCAATACTTTGGGGAGGAAAACAGGAGAAAGGAACGCATAGGCACGTATATATATGAATACTTTTCAATCTTATATTTGTATTTAAAGATTTCTAAATATATATGCTTTTTATCGTTTGGTTTTATCTACGAACAACTATATTTTTTAAATACCATAGCTTAAATTCTCTAAGGAGGACACGAAGTCCATCGGAGTTTCCGTGGTGTAGTGGTTATCACATCCGCCTAACACGCGGAAGGCCCCCGGTTCAATCCCGGGCGGAAACAGTCCATACTTTTTTTTATATTTATGAACCTTTATGCAGAATAAACATAAAACAATTTATAAAATAGTCAGTAGTTTGGTTCTTGTTTCTTTAATATATTATCCTCTTGTTCTTCAGTATGAATAAGTTATCTATAAATATAATTTAAAGATATTTATAGCTGCATCATGGCCTTAAACTTATCGCGTTGCTTTTGCTTCAAGGCCTCATGTTTTTTTCGTTCCACATTTTTGATTAGGAATTCTTGGAATTTCCGACGCAAGTCCAACGGCAGACCTGTATTTCGAAGGTCCAACTTTTCGAGAACTTTATTGCAGCTAATGATCTTCAGTAGATGTTTGCCAAAGTCCTGCAATAAATTTGATTAAAAGAGGATATGGGGAAGATTTGAGAGAGTTCACCTCTCCCAAACAGTTATTTGATAAATCGATGTCCAACAGGGTGGTATGCTGGCAAATTAGCATCATAAACAGCTTTGTAATGGTCTCCGAAATACCACAAGTTCCCAGGTCCAGCTCCTTGATGGGCATGACCTGAAGGGTGTTGAAAATCGCGGCAGCTCCGTCACTTTGGATGGGATTTAAGCGCAGCACCAACTGATTGAGTGGGACATGTCTTAAGGTACGGCTAAGAATGTAGGCACCTTCTTCAGCTTTAAAAGAAATATTACATTAGATATCTCTTCTCAAGAAAGAATATAGAAAAACTAATTTCACTAACTGATCTTGTTATTAGTCAAATCGAGGACGGTGAGTGTGCCGAAGGACTCTCTGCCGCAGGTCTCCAAAAAGCAGCGGATTCCCGCATCGCCCACCGCACAGTGTAGCAAGGACAGCTCGGTCAGGTGGTGACATCCTTTATCCAGGCTGTGGGCCAGGAATCGCAGCTGATACGGCATCAGCTTCGTGTTGTGCAGACTGAAAAGCAAATGAGTTGCAGGAGACGTATTGCAGGAGGCCCTCTAGAGAAGTCAGTCCTTACCAGAACTTCCGCAACTCGTGGCACTGGCTGAGTCCCTTGCTCAAATGCAGAATATCCCTGACAGTCAGTTGGTTGCAGCCCATTTGGTAATTGCAGCCGGCCGTCTTGGTGCTGTAACTCAGTCGCAGTTGGCGTAAATCCGGCAGATTGCTCAGCAGGTAATCAAGCGGAATGTGATCTGCAAATGGGTGGTATAAACTTTAAGTGTATACGACGGAAATGTACCCTTGAAAATATGTTAAAGCACTTTTCATTCAATAACACATTTCAGTTAGAAAAGTTAAAAATAATTAAATGTTAAACATAATTTTCTTTGTAAATTACATTTCAACTACATTTTTAATAAATAAGAAATAACAATGCTTAGGTGTTATGTTAAATCAGTTTTAAAGTAATCCCTAGGTATTCCCAATTTCATTTCCCCCTTACTCACCATTCGCATCGGTTGTGGGCGGGGCGGGCTGAAGAAAACTTATCTCCAACTGATTTATGTACGCCGCACAGATGTCCAGGACGACCTGCACATTGCCCTCCTGCTCGTAGTCGGCCGTCGGCATGCTTTCAATAAACTCCTGCACATGTCGCTCCATGTAGATGTTGATCCAGGGCCGCTCCCTGCCCCGCGCCTGAAGTGGGGCGCTTCTCCAGCGCTGGCCGTAGCAGCGCTGCCAGAAGAAATCCTCGCGGATGTGGGTGCTGAGCAGCTGCAGCGGCAGCTGCGTGTCCAGGTGGCTTAGGAGGTAGTTGCGGTCCTCGCGCCTCCCCAGCTGACGGTACAGCGGCAACTCTGCGGATGAACAATGTCTGCTTATTTTCAATTTCGTAAGATCTATAGACTACAGTCTTGTGTGGTGTAAATAATAGCCAAAACAAATGGTTGAGCAAAAATATATAAATTATACTGTTTAATATTAAATATTTCACCCAAATTAAAAGTCATTAAATAATATTTGCAATATTTAGAGGTTTCTTAATATTAAATATCTTGTTAATTTGAAGATATTCCCTATTTTTTTATCAGTAAATTTACATCGTTTACCAACTAGATTCAATTATTTTGTTACTCTGGTTAGTCAATTTAAAGCCGTATGCTCACCACTCCAATTCTCAACGATGGCATCAAGCACAAGATGTCGCAGACTTTTCGCTTGATTTGCTTGGCCCTCCAGGACATCGCTGGGGATCTGGATGGTGTCCAATGATTTACCGCCGACTTTGGGCAACTTGACATCGGTGGGATTGAAATAGGCCTTGAAGGTGTCAATGGAAACGGTGCTGGGGAACTCACAGTACGTGAAATCCATTTGAATAAATGTAGTTTGTCGAAATATGCAAACTGCAGATAGTTATACAGTTGGTAGATAAATAACGTTTATTAGTCCGGCTTTTTGGCTGCCAGGAAACGGTTGTCAACGAAGACCCTTTATTGATTTTCCAGTGCTGCAAAAAGGTGAGTGGAAATACGGGGACTTTTTATAAAGCAATGTTGGACTCAGCATAATAAAAATTATTATACTAACATTAACGCATTACAAAAAGCAACTGGGGATACAAAAATAAATCAGATTTAAAGCTGACTCCAAGTTTGGACAATATAATTTCTTTAACTTTGAGTAATGTGTATACCGCAGGATATTCTCGGGTTTCTTGGGCATTTGCATAACAAAGTCGTTTTGGGCCGCGAGATAAGGCCTCAAATGGCAAGCCGATTATGACCCTAATTACACGACATTACAAGTCAGCGTTTATCCCACTCACCAACTCACTAACCGTCCCAAGTCGCCCAAGAGTGTATCAAAAATATTGACTTGGCATCTTTCATTGCGGCCAATCAAGGCGGATATCTACCTGGGGATTAGGCCAGCTGACATGACTTGCGGTTGCCACTGCCAGAAAGTCAAAGTCAGAGCTCCTTGAGTGGCTGGTGTAATTTTTACGGCTTAACTAGGACTCCGCCGTGTCTGCGAAAAATGCAAAGTACGAGTATATTCACGCATAAAAAGCGTTATTTATGTCTCGGCCTCGGCGACGCGTCGACCGAGAATTAATAACCAACCCCGCGATGGGTGATGCCATGATGCGCATTATTATGACCAAATTATACACCTTATAAAACAGTTGCGCGTCTTTGCCGAAACCAAATTTTTATGTAAAGCAATTTATTTTGAATTATTTTTATGGCACTTAACGGTTGCGCTGCCTGCACACATTTGATGGGAAAAAAACTGGAAAGCTGACTAGTCAAAAATTGGTTTCTCATGGGTACGTTTGTCTGTGAATGGGGTTTTGAACTCAAAGGGATTTCCCCTGAATGGTTTGGTTATTGTGCGAATTTCGCTTGATGAATTATGGGAAATCGATGCGCTTATTGAGCGGTTGAGTTATATTGCTACCAACTGGAAATCGATTTTATTTGAGAGCAGAAATAAAATAATTTATTTCATAAATAAATGTAAAATGTAATTTTATTTTTGAATAAAATAAAGTCTTGCAATTTGGTTCATTTAAAATTAGTATTTTTGGCTTGGATGAAAACGTCCCCTAGTTTATTTGTATAGAAAATTTCTTGAACAAAAAATGTTATTTGTTGATATCTTTTATTTTATTGACAATTTTTATTAGGCATATATATTGATACTTATAGTCTTACATGATTCTAAATTAGAAATCATATCGCAAGTTCAGTCCAGTGCCGAAATCGGTCTTGCCACGCCTCGGTCCGCTCAAGTGGTGATTGGCACTGCCGGTGGCATTGAGGTTGAGGTTGCCACTGGGTGAGGAGTACAGGTTGGCCCTCCCAGAACCCTGGACGGTGGTCATATCGAACTGCGGCACCCGGGTGACCCCCACAGCCGCCTGGTGACCCACTGTCGTCTGCAGATTGAGTCCTCCCCCAAACTGGTCGTAAGATCGGTTGTGGCTGTGGAAGGCGGTGGCGTTGAGCGAGGTGTTTTGGCTCTGAAGCAGACTGGCCTGAGCTGCGGCGGTGGTGGTGCTGCCCATGCCCTCGATGTGACCATGCTGCAACGAGAGGCCATGTCCATTGCTGTAAGATGAAAAGAAACCGGGTTATTACTTGATGTTCGATAACGAAAAATATTATAATTCTCCGGTTGGAACTTTTCACCATCTGAAAAAAGAGTTGACTTACGCATTCACCGCTCCATAAACTCCCTTGGTGACGGGTCCACCAGTGCCTGGAGTGGAGGCGAATACTCCGGCCCGAGCATTGACCAGATCGTCACCCACCATCACTCCACAACGGGCGGCTGCCTCTCCGGTCTTTGGGTTTCCTGTTGCCTGACAATCCATTTTTATTAATTATTTGGTTTCTTTGACTTTATACTTGGAGAGTGAAATGTGTTTTGAATGATTGCAAATGCCCGCTGGTCGCTTTTATACGCTATAGCCTTTTGTCACAAAAGAACCCCACGCATCTTTGGTACATTCCCTAGAATTTTCTCTTCTCCATCTGTTAATCAGCCCATGATACAGAGCTATATGCATTTGTTTTTCCCCTTCAGCCATTGTGAAATCCGTGGGGACTCCCAAATATATTTACTTTTTGATATCTTTTTATCTTTTTTGATATAGCGCTTTATTAGATCATTTTAAAAACTTAAACAAGAATCAAGATACAGGTTACCAAACACTTATGTATATTTCTTTGATTTTTGTATCTAACATTACCCGTTAAAACAAAATGACCATCAAGAGGTAAACAAATCTAATTTATATTTATATATATTTTTTTAGTTCTTTCCAATATAAGACTTTCAAAGGCAAATAATTTGAAAGAACAAGGTATAAAATACATTTTGAAATTGGCTCCTGTAGATATATTTAAAGGCTAATTTTATGTTCTACTGGGCATGTAGATATTATGACATTATAACAACAATTTAAATTTAAATTGGGCGAAGCAATTATGACACATTTGTCTGCGTAAAATCATATGGCGCCGTGGCTTAGTTGGTTAAAGCGCCTGTCTAGTAAACAGGAGATCGTGAGTTCGAATCTCGCCGGGGCCTACACAAGAAAAATGTTTGTGTCATATTTTTTTTATAAATTTTCTATTAATTGAAGTTGATTCATATTTTATAAATTAAGTTCTAAACTATAAAATCAATATTTGGCATTTCACTATTTATTAATTATTATTTTGGTGACCCTTAAGAATTAAAAAAATCCTACCACTGAAATTTCGAAATTTTTCGGTTCCCCGTAAGTGGCGCCGTGGCTTAGTTGGTTAAAGCGCCTGTCTAGTAAACAGGAGATCGTGAGTTCGAATCTCGCCGGGGCCTTTGAGCACAAAAATGTGTGTGGGAGGTAGTTTTTTTTTTTAATTTTTTTTTTATACACATTCAGTGCATTGCGTTGCAGCTGTCACTTTTTGAGCCTGCGACTTGTTGGAATCGGAAAGGAAAAACTCTCGTTTTTATTTTGTACTTCTGCCCCGATGACAGCTGACAAAAAGTTTGGCTTGCGTAAACAGTGGCCACGGATTCGCCACCCGCTGCACATCCTCCCCGACATCCACCTGTTGTTGTCCTTGCAGCAGCCTTGCATAACGGAAACAGACCGGCGGAAATGTTCGACAGCATGTTGCGATGTTGTCCACCGCAAGGTGAAAAAAAAGTCCGGAGATCCGGGGCTGCCCATATTTGCCTTGCAAATGGAACGAACGGCTTTTCAATTTCCCTCGCTTTTGGAAATAAGGGGGACCGACCGCCTGCAATTAGCCGGCAGCCAGCAGCTTATTTGTTTCAATTTATTTACATGCACTCGCCTCTGGCTTATCTTGCTTTTTTATACCCAAACGCACTCAAGCCCAGCGATAACTCCGGGGCATATAATTATGTCACAATGCAGCAAAAACAAACTTCTGACAAGCTGAACAATGCCATATTATTTTTATGAATTTAATTTCTAGCGTCCTTTTTGTTTGTTACTCGGATACAGCAATGTCCTCTTCAAATTTCCTCCCGAGAATATCTGTTGGTCTGCCGTTGGATTTCACTTATCGAATACAAAAGTTGGTTGGATGGCCCCCTTTTATGATCTCAAAGTTTGGCAATCTCGACAAATATCCCCCCAATATTTGCCCAGACTTGAATAAGCTCAATTCCTGCCCCCAACATGTGTTCAAACATATATCATTTGCAATGCTCGAACGCCCACCCCAAAAAAAAGCTGATCCAGACCTCATCGTCACCACCCGGCGGTTTTTAGCAATTGTCAGCAATTTTCTCAATGGACAGTCCAGAAACTATCGCACAAAACCACTAAGCAAATGTCCCTCGTCCACCCGATGTGTGCTGTGTATTTTTCTGATTACCACGGACGGACAGTCCGGCCGGAGTCGCACACTGTGGGCGTGTACATAGCTTAGGCATTAACATAATTTATGTGGTTCCGCCGGATTTGGCCTTGTCGTAAAAAAGGACACTCCATTGTCCGCTTTGAGCTTCGATAACAAAGGCAAAGTCCGGCCGAGGATTGCGGTTTTTATTGTTTCGATGGCAACAAAGTTTATGGAAAGTTACTCTGGCTCTAATTTCGTTTGTAGTTTTTCTGTTGACTTTGCGCATTTTTTTAATTAAATGAATTTTGGGTTGTAGAAATCAAATGGTAGCCAGCTAATCTATGTGGCCATTACTCAAATTTTGGGAGGGTTTCTGGATGGGATGTATGAAGTTCATGGTCCATAAAAACGTGCGAAATTTTCACGGGCGCGTGAATTTTCACAGCCCTTGTGGGTTCTTGTTTTTGTTTTTCCAGACACGGACGGGCGCCTCCCCTTTTCCACCTCTTACTGATTGTTGTCACCTGTTTTTTGCGCACTTTATTCGCAGGCCTGCAGGTAATCGCTGGGTATGCGGAGTTGACACAAAAGGTGTTGCTTTTTCCTGGTTTGGAAAATTCTTTGACAGCAATGTATTCCAGGGTGTAAAACTGTCACATAACCTGCGATTCCTTAGACTGTTAGTACACCTGGCACGCAGAACTCATAACTCAAAAACGTTTTTGTTGCCCTCACAAAAGCAGGTAATGTGGCAAAATAAAATCAAGCAGCGAATGTTGAAAACTTCAAGTTTTTCTTTACGTTTAATAATGAAAAATTGCTGGCACGTGCGGGTTGGGTAAAAATACTACATTTTTTACGAATGGTATAAGCCTTTTAATGAATCTTGAGGCATTGCGGTTCAACTTCTTGCACATATTGCAGTTATTAAACTAGAGGTTAAACTAATTTGAAAGATTAATTTTATTAAACCATAAAAACAACCGGTGTTGGGGGTGCCTACTTATAAAACTTATGGTAATAAAAAAAATTGTTAAAGCTTTTTACATTTAGTTATATGAGTCTTTAACAAAAAAAAATAAATTCTGTTGGAGATGCGGGGTATCGATCCCCGTACCTCTCACATGCTAAGCGAGCGCTCTACCATCTGAGCTACATCCCCGATGAGGGCAGCGCTGCTTTTTTCACAGCCTACGCCTCATCGGATAGTAATAGTGCATTTAAATCAGATTAATATGGTTTGGTTTTGTTGGCCCTAAATATATAGTTAAACAAAATAATTTAAATATACAAATTTTGTATTTATGTTTAAATTGTCTTAATCTTCCTACAAGCATTTAAAGATTAAACTATTTTTATTTACCTTTTATTGGCTGAGATGTTGCATTTTGATACCTTAATTTTACTCAATAAAAGTTATATGATAACTGTTTATATACTAAAAGAATTAGTAATACACTTAGATATATTCAACTTTGCTCATTAAACTTGATCAGATTTACGTAGGTAACCAGGGCAGCCTTGAAAGCATATACTATTAATAAATTTTCATGGTTTGTTGGCTCTGGCGAAGTTACAGCACTCGAATGCTTATTACAAGGCCCATTAGGCAGCCTGTCTTCATTTGGCTCCCAGAGTTGGATCGCAGATCGGATTCAAAGTAGTTCAACCAGAGTCTTCAATTGATGCAGTTGGAAAAATGTCAGTGCTCCGGTTCGTTTTTCTGCTAGTCCTGGCCAACAGCAATCGAGTTTTAGCTTTGAAGGCCGAAGGCGATTTGCATGAGGATCTTTCAGGACCAGATTCCATCGACGGACGATCTTTCTTCTTTTTGGGCAATTTATTTCGTCGCTGGCGCAATCGCTGGATGGCCTTTCATAGCCCGGATCCGCTGTTTGCAGGTCCCGTCTATCCCATAACTGGTTATTACAACTGCCCCGTATACGGCTGCAATCCGTCGACCATTGGACCTCAACCCGGTTACTATAACACTCCCGGAGGATTCTACACCATGCCACTGAATCAGCAACAGACCCAGGGAAACAGCAATGTCTATATTTACCAGAGCGATCAGAATTCCGCTTCAGCTGCAAGTCCTCTGGGATATGGATATGGTTATGGTGTATCACCACTTAGACCACCAAAGCCCTTGCCTCTGCCGCCTCCTGGAGCCTTGCCTCCCTCCACAGTGGGCACGGCATCGGCCAGTGCCGGCGGCTACTCCGGACCAGAATTAGGACCTGGACAACGGCCAGGACTATTTCCAATACCGTTACCCCAACTGGGATGAACGGGAAAAACGGGAAGTCGTAGGAAACGCTTGCCCAAGTAAACAGTGCAGACAAAGTAAAAGAAAACAATACAATTTTAATTGAAATATGAGCGAAAAAAATTAAGTAAAAAGAGATACGAAAACAGAGACTTCTCCAACCAAACCTTCCTCGTATTATATTGTTAATATTATACAATGTTCTGACCAATTTTAAAATTGTAAACTAAAATCTATATGTAAAGAATGATTAAAATATATATGAAAAAAAATTATAAATTCATTACAACAATAATATAGTAGTTGTTACCAATGTTATACACTTTATTGAACATTTATAATTTGCCCATTATCGTATCAATAAAATTAAAAGGAACCCATTCAGCTGTGCAATTAAAATGATTTTGTTTACATTACAAACTAGATTTCGAAAGTGGCGCTGCTTCCTGAAAAATCCACAAAAAGGGTTACCCACGCACACACTCACACGTCCATTTATCCATTAACGCCAAAGGAAAAACTCCACAAGCAATCTGCATAAACAAACTCATCATCATCCTCGCCAGCCAAAGTTTGGGCTCGAGGTTCCGGACGAGCAGAAGCTGAAGCCACGATGCTCCGGCATTTGTTTTGATTCCATCATAAACCATAAGATAGCTGCAGACGAGGATGGCTGATGAAGTGGTTGCAAGCTGCCCAAGGAGCCGGGGGAGAGATTCAATTGTTTGGCAAATAAATGCCCGGCAGCATAATGGATGGCCATCCAGTGGCTTGGTCAGCTCCGTGTCCGCTCCTGTTATTATTTTTATATAACTTGCGAAAATAATAATAGAGCTTTGCCCATGCCCAAGGGCGTGGCAGAAGCAAACAAACAAGCGACAGTTGAATAAACAGAAGTGTGAAAGTGCAGATAGTAAAGGGATCTGGCCACCGGAGTCTCCTTTTCCATATGTTAAGGCGTTGACTCCTGTCCATATCAGTCCATTTCTCTCCATCTTGATATGCATTTGTCCTGAACTTTATTTGTGTTTGTGCTGGAACAACAAAAACGAACAACATGGCGCTGTACCAGACTCATTTTCCAGGTGTTTTTGCTTAGTTGATAACTTTCGCTGACCGGAAACGGAAATTAAGTGCACAAGTTTGTTCCAAAGACACCCGCTTTGCTCATTTTTTATCTAGTCCAGATATCTTGGCCAAGAAACAAGCTATGTTGGCAATCAGTAAATTAAAATGTCCAAAAGAGAAGCATTCAAATCACAATGACTCACAAGTGGGGCATTTGACACTTGCCCATGCATCGGGGATGTAGCTCAGATGGTAGAGCGCTCGCTTAGCATGTGAGAGGTACGGGGATCGATGCCCCGCATCTCCAGTTGAAAATTTTTGCTGTACTAAATTTTTATTTTTGTATATTTAATTTTTTTAAAGTAAAAAATAAATTATTTACATTAAAATAACAAAAATAAAACAAAAACTATTCCGGGCTCAACCGGGATTTGAACCCGGGACCTCTCGCACCCAAAGCGAGAATCATACCCCTAGACCATTGAGCCGCTTGGACGCAGGGAAGCCATTTGTAGATATAAATTTGTCCCGCTACGCAAACGCTCAAAAAATTTGCGAAAACAAAAATATGTTTGCAAATAAACAAGCAAAACTACTTTAATTAAGAACAAGTTAAGGAGTGGTATTTTTTCTTGGATAACAAAATAATTATCAATTGGAGATGCGGGGCATCGATCCCCGTACCTCTCACATGCTAAGCGAGCGCTCTACCATCTGAGCTACATCCCCTTGTGCCAACAAGTCAGCAAAAATGAGACAATTCGGGGAGGTTTTTGTTCATGAATTTAATTTAATTTAATAGTTAATGTCAACAACTTAAATAATCTAATCTCGAAAACATTTGCAAATAATACTTGGGAGAGTTTAACAACTTATGGTCTTATCCATAATATGCGCCGTAGGGGTTGCCGTAGCCGCCACCAAAGCCGCCAGGAAAGCCACCAGGAAGTCCACCCGTGTAGCCGCCTCCTCCGATTGGGAATCCACCACCATATCCACCTCCGAATCCTCCACCATAGGCGGGAACTGGAACGGGATAGGGCTGTGGCTGGGGACGATTGCCGCCCAAAAGTCCGCCCAACAGGTTGCCAAAGAGGCCGCCACCTCCGCCGCCGCCTCCTCCAAGGAGTCCACCTCCGCCAAGTAGATTTCCTAAGATTCGATTATCCACCGGTCCACCAGTGGGCTGAGCTCCAGTTCCCGGCGAAGGACGCTGCTGTGGATACGCATACTGAGCATAAGAGCAGGCGCAAAGCGACAGGAGCACCACCAGCTAATAAAAAGGAAATAAAATCCATTAGGAAATATTTTAAAATGGAAATGTTCTGCCATCACTCACCGAACAGCTAATCTTGACCATGTTTCTAGTTCGTCTTGAACTTGACTGACTTGGTTAGCCATCGATTGTTTCGGTTTTTATACATGTTCTTAAAAACTTACGCCCACATTGTCCCGGAACACGACAGATAAACGACCTTCAACCCCTTTAAACTTAACCGATTTCAATGTTTTTCTCACGATTTGTTATATTTCGCCTTAGTAGCTGCGACTAAGTTTTGGCACAATAAAAATTGATTGGCTCGAGAACTGGTTGTTGATCAAGTTTTGGGCAGTTCTTTGAACTCGACGAGAATAGGAAGTCCAGGAAGTGCTGGAGGTTGATATAAATACGGTCGTGCTTAACTTGGCAATGCTTAGATCCAACAGAGAACATGCGGCAAAACAAGGTAAGTGGAGTTACATTCATATCTAAACCTTGGGTGACAGTTTTTTTTCATTTGCAGATAATGATTCTGTGTCTGTGCCTGCTGCTTTGCATGGGACTTGCACACTCCCATGGTTTTGGTGGAAAGCTCGGAGGAGGTTATGCAGCTGTCTACAATAACTTTGTTCCCTATCCCGTGGCCCAGCCGATTCCAGTGGCACAGCCTGTCCCAGTTCCCGTGGTAATTCCTCAACCGATTCCAGTGCCAGTGCCCCAGCCCGTAGTGGTTCCCCTAAAGCACGGCTGGAAAGGCGGATTTGGTGGCTTGGGCGGAGGATTTGGGGGTGGTTATGGAGGCGGTTTCGGTGGTTATCAGAACTTCGCCTCTGCCTCCTCCTTCAGTTCTGCCAGTTCATTTGGCGGAGGCTACGGCGGAGGCTTTGGCGGTGGCATTTTTAAGAGACGCTAAATGTTTTGTTTAGGTACATTGTTAAAATATATACATATATTTATTTAAGTTTCACGAATTGATTATTTACTTCGTTTTTTAAGCAGACTTCTGTATATTTTGAACTCTATTTGTGGCAAAATAATTTTGCTTGGGCTGGCTCGAAACTGGCAAACAGCAGCCATCTGAGCATGAGGCTCAATGGTCTAGGGGTATGATTCTCGCTTTGGGTGCGAGAGGTCCCGGGTTCAAATCCCGGTTGAGCCCTGCTCTTTTTTTTAAATGTTTTTATTTCCAATTGTATAAAAAAAAATGTATTAGCACTCACTTTTTCTTTTTAAATTCGATATATTTTAAAATATAAGCAAACGAATTATTCGATAAAAAATAGTCGTTTTGTTCCCGCCCGGGTTCGAACCGGGGACCTTGTGCGTGTGAAGCACACGTGATAACCACTACACTACGGAAACCTCTTGCTTTTAATAATTCAAGAGGGCATCATCAGCCAACATGTAGCGCCATCTATACTTGAATTTTACATGTGACTGTCTCAACATACGTTCGCAAGATGTCGCCCAAAATGTAAATGTACGGAAAGTGTAAAAGTTTATCGAAAGTGAGAAAATTTCAGAATAACACATTTTCAATGTGGCTGCTTTTCCCAAATAAAAAAAAAAAATAACCGAGAGCGACGAGGAACACAAGCTGGCATCCCAGCAAGTGACCCAAGCAGCACATCATGGAATTATAACTACATTTGTTTTACTTATTTTAATGGTCAAATGAATTAAACTAAATAACAAAAATTTGCGATTCTGATGGCAATCATATGGTTTTTAACTTATCCCACTAATCAATACTTATTTTCCCCAAGCACCGCCTCCGATATCGCCGCCCCCGTATCCGGATCCTCCGCTGTAATGTCTTTCTTCGTGATATTCGTGATGCTCATAGCCACTGCTTCGGCCGTATCCTCCTCCATATCCTCCTCCATATCCTCCTCCGAATCCTCCTCCGTATCCTCCGCCGTAACCGCCGCCGTGTCCTCCTCCGTAGCCACCTCCGAAACCACCTCCATGGCTTCCTGCTAATCCAGCGCCCAACTTAGCGCCCACAGCAGCTCCGAGTCCAAATCCGGCAGCGCCACCCACTAATCCGCTCTTTAGACCCAGCAGCTTTGGAGTGCGAACCTTGAGACCCACAAATCCGGCGTGAGGTCCCTTAAAAGCCAACAGTTTAATTTTTCCGGCTGAGGCATTTCGCAGTAGAAACAGAAAGTATACTCCCAGAAACAGGATCAATTGTGAACGCTGAAATTTTAATTAAAGAGTTACATATTGTGCTTCAAATGATTAATTTGTCATTCAGTAAAATTTTATTTAACTGGCTTTAAAACTAAATCATTAGAAATATTTTATGAAATTAAGCAAGGTGTTTAGCGGAATTTAACTTTATATTAAAAACTGTTCCGTACGAAATTTTATAAAATCAACTTATATTCAATTTTATTTTCGTTTTAGTTGCAGATATAAAATAACTTCCATTAAAATCCAATCACAAAACTGTATTTCGGGATAATTGTTTTTTTTTTTACCGTTTTTACTCGTTTCTTAAACACACTTTTAAAAACATATGAATGTTTCTTGTCTAATAAAAATCCATCACAATCAAACACTTACAATGATTTGCATGTTTACTTTTTATACGGATTAAACGCGAGTTTAATTGATTAAGTCTGTTTTGGAAATAAAAACAGGTTTTTATATATTTTTAAAATTACTATGTCTTGTAAAAACTTCAAATTCAACTGTGTGGGCCGATGACGAAGCTTGTCTTTTGGCTTGACTTGGACAACGACGCGTGATCAATTGAAGCTGCTGCGCGGCAGCGGACGCGTTTTTATCTCGCTGACGCGTTTTGTGACCGATTCGAATCGCCCTTATGCAATCAGCCGTTGAAGAGGTCTTGTTTGTCTTCGCTTTTGTTGTTGCTGCCGCTGCTGATGTGAACTTCAGGCTGTGCTATATATTTGCCTTATGCACATGATTTGCCCCTAAAAATTTCAGGTTTTTTGAGAGCAAAAAGTGAAAAATTGGGCTTGAGTAAAGAAATGTAAAAAAAAGGAATGAGCTGAAGACAACAAATGTCAATGGAAAACGTGCCATATATTTTGCTGGGCTAGAAACCTGAAGAAAATTGAAAAAAATCACATTTTCAGAATGTACGCTCAGCATTTTAAATCAACATGCAAATAGAAAAAAAAATTATGCACACTTAGGTGAATCATTTTGGGTATTTACGTTTTATTGACCTCCATCACATTAAAAGCCAAATAAAGAAATCAAACAAAACAGGGGCAGAAATTTCCAGCAGGTACGAGTCGGTTTTTCCAACTCATCTGCCGAATGGGTTGCCATAGCCTCCATAGCCAGAAGATCCGTAGTTGTTGTAGTTGCTGAACTGATTGTACTGCTGTCTATAGCCTCCGCCATATCCCCCGCCGAATCCTCCATAGCCACCGTATCCAGGGTATCCGAATCCTTGGTATCCGCCGGAACTACTGCTCGCCGCCGCACTAGCTGAGGCGTAGCTACCTCCATAGCCTCCGTATCCTCCATAGGGTGAAAATCCATACCCAAATCCGGATCCAGGATACTGGGGGGCACTCAGGGCTCCGGCAATAAGGCAGCACAACAGAGAAGACAGTGTAAAATACTGCAACATTAAAAAAATCCAAATTAGCGATTTAGTCTGAGTAGCTAAGACTTTAATGTACTCCCACCTTCATGGCTGGCAAACAACTCAATGGCAACTGATTAAAGTTTGCCATTCTTATAGTCGCCGAAAACGGAAGTAAAGTTCGCAGTAATTACAATAATGAGATTTAGCATAATTATAGAACAAATGCGAGACTATAACCTACCTTTAGTACAGAGTCACTTAGAGTTTGGATTACAGAACATTGAGTGTTATGAATATAAATAGTGGGTCAATAACCTTAATCATTTGCATGTTTGGCAATCATCATTTAGCTTAAAAGCAATACAAAATTGTGACTTCAACACTTAACAGACAAAGATCGATTTTTATAATTGTACCTTCTACAAAATATCAATCATATTCATTTTTTGGTTTTAATTTTAAGTCCAAAATAAGAATAAGTTCTTCTTATATTGTATATTTATTAAAGTTTTATGCAAAGCTTAAAAATAAACCCATTAAAATTAGCTGAATTCACTCATCTTTTAAAGACGCAATTCTGTTCTTGTTTATCCGCGCTGTCAACGAATCTAACTACAATTTCCTGACTAGCCACAGATGTGGGTTGGTCTCACTTTGGTAACTCCGCTGACGTCAACTCGAGGTGAATAAACTGAAAACGAAAGTGAAGGCGTAACAATTGACCAGAATAAACAAGGGGAGTTAGACACAAACGTATTGTCGAACCATAGTTAGTCATATAGGTAGATCTGCCGGAATAGCAGCAGTAACAAGTGCTAATGAGCCAAACAAATGCGGGCTGGCCATATCGCTCATCCCGACCTGCTTCGCTGCACGTTCTTCGCTGTAGTTTGTTGTCTAAGTCATTTGTTTTGTATGCCCTCACTAAGATCGTCGTTTAGCTTGGTTCGTAAAATAAGAAAAAAAATTATTTACTAATTTATTTTTAAATATTAATATTATTAATTTATTTATAAACTTATCTTGCAAAGCCTCTGATCTGAAAACTTTTCTAAATAAATTTGTTAATCCAAGTCAAATATTAATTATGCTTTGATATACAGCTTTAAGAAAAGCTTGGTTTATTTCAAAAACATCAATTATTTAAAAACTTTTAAAGTTGCAATGTCATTTTGAAATTAGAGTACTCTTTAATCGCCTTTGCTCCGCCATTTTTGGTTGGTCTTGAAAATCGCCGGTTGATTGTAGTGTGCGATCGCTTCAGTGATTATTTTTATTGGGTTTTCCACGATCTTGATCGGCCGGCAACTAAAGGTAACCCTCAAAAAAAAAATGATAATTTAGTTTTGGGGCTGTGGCTTCAAAAATTAACGCGTTCTGGGGCCCAGTGAAGCATCGCCAGTTAAATTGTCTCTTGCTCGACTTGATTCCGAGGGGGATTCCGAGATTTCGTCACAAACTGGTTTCGCTTTCGCCGTGTTTGTTCTGCAATTTGCGTAGAATCACTTGGCAATGCGTACCGCGTACTTGAGGCTTCTTGGCCAGATTGAAGCGGAGGTATAAAAGCGACGGGCCCTTCACAATTGCAATTTAGTTTCGACCAAGAAGCGCTCGTTATCGCAATGGTTGTGGTTCGTGTGAGTTGTGTAAGTGCGGCTGCTATTTCCAAACCGAATCGGACGAACTTAAATGCTTTGGTCACCTTACAGATGCTGGCCCTTTTGCTGATCGCCGGTCAAGGTCAGACGGCGCCCGTCAAGGCCGAAGGTCGTACTTTCGGCCTCCTGGGTGGCGGATTTGGCGGCACTGTGGGCCTGAGTGCCGGGATCGGAGTGGGCGGTGGCCTCTATAGCGGATTTGGAGGAGGAGGCGGCGGCTATCCTGGTGGCTATGCCGGTGGCTATCCCGGCGGTTATGGCGGCTACTCCGGCTACGGAGGCGGTGGCTATGGAGGTGGCTACTATCCAGGCGGAGGCTACTCCGGCTTTGGACACCGGCCACACCATCATGGAGGATTCCATCCGGGCGGTGGATCCTACTACAACCAGGGCGGATCTTATGGCGGCCATTACAGCCAGTCGCAGTATTCGAATGGATATTACAACGGAGGTGGCTACGGAGGCGGTGGCTATGGCGGCGGCGGCGGCGGTTTCTTTGGCAAATAATGCTCCTAAATCTCGCCACCTGTCCATTAAAGTACTTGTGATTCGCACTTTGTAGATTGTAAAATACAAAAAACAACAGAAACCAGAAATAATAAGCCCAATTTAAGTCAATTGAAATCCGGTTTTTTGGTGGGAATATTGTCCTTGGCGCTGCTTTGTTGCTCTTCTCTCACTGATTTTTATGCTGCAGACGCGACGTGCATAAATTTAATGGCCATAGATCCGAGATTTATGCGCTGGCCTGACTAATCCATCGCCTGGAAATGGTTTGGGGAATTCCTTGCTTTAATCTTGCTGGGAGGTAATTCGGCTAGCATTGGAGGAGCAAACATGGGAAAACCAACGTTTTTTAATACGTCTTTACCTGTAGCCAATTTAGAAAAGAACAGATCTTAAAAAAAAAAATTTGAAAACTTACTTTGACCTACCTTATGGCAAAAATAGATTCACCTTTTCAATTTTGATTTATTTGTGTGAAACCAATTAAATTTCTAGTTAATACACTTCGAAAGTAAATACCAATTTTTGATTTGAATATCTCCCATTTATCTACAAAAACTGTTTTAAATAAATTGTATATAAAATCGTTCTTATTATATTTCTTAAATCTATGTACTTTTAAAATATATCGCTACATGAAAATTCGATTAGAGCCGACTACCCGTAGCTGCTTCGCTGATCCCTCGATCGCTGATCCCTTGACCGATAGGCTCCCGTTTGGTACACTGGCTGCACCTGTCCCGTCAATTGCTGAATAATTCCGTTCACGGTTGTCGCCACACCTCCAACTAATTGAGCAGGTGTCACAGGAGGCTAAAATAAAAAGGATAGGTGGTTAGGTAGTACAGAAAATCATCAAATATATTATTTTTTAATCATAAACAAGTGATATTCTTAGCAGATTTTCACCTAAAATAATACAAATTATTCGCAAAACTCAAAACTATTGTAATTTAAAAACCAATTACATATTTTTAACAAAGAAAACCAAACTTAAGATATTTTAATCCAAGTAAATAATCAATTCTTGTAATTTTTTTCAACTTACCGCTCCGGCAGAATCGTAGTAGACACGATTGGGGACCGGTCGTCGCACTGGAGGAGGTGCCGCATAGGCGGGATCCACCTCAGGATCGCTCTGCGGATCCCCAGCCGGACGAACTGGATCCCTTAGTGGATCTCTAAGGGGAACACCGGGCACTGTGGCAGAGTTCAGAATTCCCGGAGCAAAGAGCGACAACCAGGTGGCAAAAGGAGCATACGGACGCACTGGCACTGGAATGGGTTGAACTGGGGGAAGAGGATCTGACAGGAGACCTCCGCCAAGGCCACCGAGGCCACCTCCACCGTAACCACGACATCCGCCGGGATAGACTTTCACCACGTTCACGTCGAACAGAAAGCGTCCCTGCTCATCGGGATCCTTCTGACCAGCCTTGGCATCTCGTCCAAAAGGGCCACAGGGACCACCTCCATATCCACCATATCCGCCATATCCACCGTACCCTCCGTATCCACCATATCCGCCCAAGTATGGTCTCGCCAATCTCTTTAGCTTCTTTTTGAGCAGCAATGTGCGTTCGTCACCGGATTCGTCCAGCTCCTGATTGGAAGCCCCGGCAAACTTGGCATTCTCCTTGTCCGACTTGTTGGTAGTGGCACTTTCCTCCCTGGCTTTCCGGCTGCCTAGCGAGTTGTACAAACTGCCGGAGTTCGTGGCAGAGTAGGACCTTCGACGGGGATACTCGTAACTATAGCTGCGCGGATAGGCCAACGAATAGCCCAAGGCTCCCAGAAGGAGTAGAAGGAACAGTTGCATGTTGGAAACGCGATTCGATTGCCGAAAGACTTCTGCACGCTCGACGGGATGGGCACAAACTAATCCTCTAATGCGGAGTACGCCCCAACTTATCACCTTGCCCGTGTGCCAAAAAACAAAACCAACTCGCATTTGGCAAATTGGTTGCTATTCCCTTAGAAGGCAGGCAGACAGACAGACAGACAGACAGACATACCGGCGATTGCATAATGCCCTTTTTTATTGGCTCGAATTTTTCCAGGGCATTGTTTTGATATGGTAATTCAGGCCGCCCACCCAAACCACCGGCACCGGCATCGGCATCGTCAACCTCATCATCATCAGTATAATCGCCCACATGGCACAACAATAGCGAAGGAAAAAAAACATGTTACACTCGGCGACTCATGTGCATTGACCTGAACCAACGATGGAAACTCTCACCCATTGCTGTTTTTGCCAAAAACACATTTCTGCCAAAAATGTAACCCGAAAGTGGGTCAATGTCGAGTCTACCGACTGCACCGATTGCCGCTAATATGGGAGCCGAGCTAATTAGTTGCCAGGGGTTGCACGGATGCTTTTCACATTAATCAATTCGTTCCTACAACTCGAGGCAGTTTGTTTATAACATATAACCTAACATAACACCTAGTTTAAATACAAAAATGTTTTTAAAATTTCAAAAAAGTATTACTGGAATAAACTATGAATCATTTTCTAACCAATAAACTAATTTGGATGAGTGACTATAAAGGCATTGACATCTTATTTTTAAAAATATGCCATATTAGTCAATATCGTGATAGACACAATAATTGAGCCTAAAAAGGTATAAAAACTTCGAGTTCCAAATTCTTAGAAATATGTATATTACATTTAAAAATTATCGTTGAATGAGTCTACCAAAAAACTACCAGATTAGTGATCGAATTCGGGTCATGTATAACGAAATCGAATGTTAATTGCAAAAATAGTTTGTGAAACTTACATTATTTTTGTAGTATAGGTACATATAAAATGTCTATTTAAGAACAAAAATCGTTTGTTAGGCGTCTACGCCCACGGTTATAAGTATACATTCAACTTAGAACTAGAAAAACAAAACTGTACATTTTTGGGGAGACCAAGCAGCCTCTGTTTGGGCTTTGGAAGTGGATCTACCATGAGCTGCTATCAGTACAAAAAGTAGGCTGAGCTAGGAAGTCTGTGCGTTGTATTCGAGGCGAGTTAGTGTACCTGGTTAGACGGCCATTTTGGGCTTGTTGGCCTCGGCCCGTTTGCGCATTGCTCTCAACCGCTGGGTGCAGTAGACCCTCAGGAAGATGGCCACGAAGACGATGAGAACTCCGAAGATGCCCAGCACCGAAATGCTGTGCTGATAGATGAAGCAAGAGAGCATGATGGCCACGGCCTGCCGAGAATAGAACAGTTGAGTAAATAAGCCCCATTCCACTTGCAAACAGATTGGACTCACCTGTCGCAGCGTCATTATTATAGTAAACACAACTGGGCCGAAGACATCAATTGTGTGATAGATAAACAATTGGCCGACCGCTGAGCAAATGGAAAGCACCACCATATCAAACACGAACTTTGGATGCTAGAAATGAAGAAATAGAATGTGAGGTAGGACCGTTCTGGTGAATTTTATATATTAAGTAATTTATGTGTTAAACAAAAAGGTTGTATTCAGCTTGGGTAAACTTTAGTTTGAAATAGTGTGCATTTTGGGTTACCCAAACAATACTGAATATATTCATTAAATATTTATCTTTGTTAACTAACTTGTTATGAAGTCATGTTGTTGTCTTTCACCGTATCTTCTTTAAACACCCACCTCTGTGGCAAATGCCAACGAGTCCATGAATCCGCCCTGCATCGACAGTGAGGCTCCAGTGAAGATGGATGAGAACAGATTCACGCCGCACATCATTTGCAGCGACGTCATGCCGTAGCTCTTGAAGAGCGATCCCTGCCAGTTAGCGGTGAAGCTGTCGAAGATCATGTACATTGAGAGAAGGAAGATGCCCGTGAGCGTGGTCACACCGCTGGCTTTGCTGCTGTCCGAGGAGCCGCTCATGAAGAAGATCATGCCCAGTGAGATGAGCAGGGCTGTGACGTACTCGTAGCTCTCGTACTTGGCCTTGGACATCAGTTTGCCCATCAGCATTACGGGTATAATCTTGCAGGACTTAGCCAGCACCTGAGTGGGAAAGTTGACGAACTTTAGGGCCTCGTACTGGAACCAAGCGCTCATTATGTTCGAGAAGGAGGCATAGGAGTACTTGTACAGCGGAGCCCGGTGTCGCACTGGTGAGGGCTGCCATTGCAGGTAGGCCAGAGCCACTAAAAAGGCCAACAATCGGTTGGAGAACACCAGGAACTGTGAGTCCTTGAACTTGGCGCTCTCGCCCGCGAAATTGAGATAGTGCTGAGTCATTATTTTCTCCTGCAGCACGCCCCAAGTGAGATAGGAGACCATCAATCCGCCAAAGCACCATAAAAGCTGCACTGCCTCCTGGGAACTTGTGCGTTTGGGGGCCACTGAAGCCGCCGGACGATCCTTATCCGTGGAGCTGCTTCCGGCATCCAGTTGATCGTGCCCAGAGTTTCCCGTGATGCACATATTGATGGCTCTATGCAGGATGGTCTGATTGCCCCTCTCCAAGTAATTTATGCGTCCCACATATTTGTAGATCAAGTAGCCCGGCACAAAGACGCAGCTGTAGCCAAAGCAATTGACCAGGAGCTTCAGCAGCCAGGCGTAGTCCGAGCTCTGGGCCTCCACCAGCTGGGAAAGGGTCACATCCTGGTTGTAGTAGCCTCCAAGCGAGGCTCGCAGCAGATCCGAGAAGAAGTGTATGACCAGCAAGCTGACCACGATAAAGGAGCTGTTTGCGAGATTGAAGACAGGTTTAGTTTAGTTAAATCAGTTGTATTATATATGTACTTACCATATAACCAGCTCTGGAACTCGACCCATCTTGTAGGCATACATGTGGCTTGTTTCGTTGACTTTACCGAATTGAATTCCCAGAGGTGCTGACTCGACCGATTTGCCGATTCTTATTGAACCCGCGGGCGGTTCTCTATTTTCGCCGGCCAGCCAACCAGTCAAGTGTCAAGAGTTCAACAACCGGCGCGCCGCTTCCAAACTAGTTTTTGCATAATAAGCGCACAATTATCATATCTCTCGGGTTTGTTTACACTCCGCTGCCAGATGTGCGTGCGGTTCGTTTGGCGGCGGGAGACACTCTGGACTTCTGTCGGAGTGGGATTCCGGGGGATTCGGGCAGCCGGCGCTCAGGCCAGCTGCTCAAACACGCCGGATCGCTCCATTGTTCACACGTCCAGAAAAACAATAAATAATTGTCGAAATTAAATTTTCTAGAGGTGGACCCTATCGACGGTGATGGGACACAACCGATTGTCATGGTTATCGATGTTTTCTGGCGCTAGTGCATTTTGTTTTTTGAAAAGAATGAAACCGTTAACTTACAAAACTAAAGTGTCTTTTAAAAATAACATCTATTATTCTTATTTTAGGAAACTGAGAAACCTTAGTAGATTAAAAGAATGTTCTTATTTTAGTGAACATTATTCTTATTCTTATTCTTTTTTAAAAAAATAAACTTAGTTTAAAAAAAGTGTCCCTCTTTTTATACTTTTAATATAAATACATTTATCAGAATTAAGAAAAACTTTTACTATGTAAAACCAAAGACAGCTGCTTAAAGTAACAATCGAATTTCCAAGCTTAAAAATTCAAGATCTCTTCCAAAGATTTTTTCTTTTTCAATAATTCCCTGGAGTTTTCAATCAATCAATGTAAGCTCTCATCTTTATTTCTAAAAATAAAGGTTATTTTGTTTATTCCTATATAAAAATTGAACTTGTTTTCACTATGTAACAGTGGCTTTAAATGCTAATGCCAAATGCTAACTCAAATTTTTAACACTTCTAAAATTACAGTCAAACGAAAGGAAATTCCGCTTGAAGTCTAATACCAGGCGCACAGCAATGAGAAAAAGAGATTGGAATGTGTGATTCAGAGGACACCCCCAGAAAAGGAATTGAAAGCGAAAGGACTCGGAAATCTATATGTGTGTGTATGTGCGAGGGGAGTGTCGCTTGACATTGCCACACTTTTTATTAGGGGTGGGTTTCGATGGCAGTGGCGTGTCCTCGGTCTTGCAACCACAAGTTCTGCCGTTTTGGTCTTTTTATGGCAAGTACCAAGCCTTTAAAACATTTGCAATGCTCTTATAATACATTTTATAATAATAAATGATAAGTATATAAATATTTTAGTGAAACTAAGCTTAGAAATGACTCTTACAAGAAAATGTTCCAGAAAGTTTAAGTTAAGTTTAAATGTTAAAAAAAAAGTTTTTGAAGGTGGTGAGGGTTGGTTATATCGTTCCAACTTTCATCACACTTGCACTGGATATACCACAGTCGTCAATATTCTGCTAATGGCTATTGTTTATTGTATATACCCATTAAAATAAATCCAAAACACTGCCAGCACTGACAACCACTGCAGCAGGGACTCCGCGGCAGGGACTACGCCCCTGCCCGCCCAAGTGGGTGGGTCACAGGCACGGGCAACCTCCGCGTACTGCGGAGCGTTTCAATTAGCGAGTGCGGGCATTGGGTGGCGCCCAAAACGAGCGTCGCACCGCCGGACTGGTTCTTTGTGATTTTTGCCAAGAACCCGGCCAAGAACCTCTGTAGCAGCAGCAGCGGCAGCAGCGGCAGCACATTCAAATAGACAGACACGTGTCCATCAGCGGTTTAACCCTTCTTAAGGTAACGCCCAAGGATTACCAGGCGACCAGGAATCCGGGTGGGTGTCCCATCGAATCCGAGGCAGTGCGCATGTCGCCCACTAGGGCGTGATCTACGGGGCGGAGTATAGCTGCCCGCCCACCGACTGGGCCGGGTTATTCACGTCCGTTACCCACTGTCGAGGCCATTACATAACGCTAACATGTGAGAGCAGTGCCGTCGACGGGCCAAACCGGTTAACAGTTACGTCGTAACTAGGAGCAACCTTAGTGCACCAGGCGAACAGAATCGCCAGGCGGAGCGTCCATTACTACGTCTTTACATTGTCGTACCCACCCCGGGTGGTTGTAGCTACAGTAACGGTCATAAATAAAGATTGAAGATTAATTTGCATATTTTCAATATAGTCCTGGCTTTATACATTTATGCAAATATAAGCGCATCCCTCTCAATTTTCAAAGATTTCAGGGGAAAACAATAAATCATAGCATACTTTTGGACACCTTGGTGATAGTTTTCGATATCCTAAGTTTACAAGCTTAAATAAAGTAAGTAAGTTTACTTCGAAAACCGCAAAAATAATAAAATATTTAATATATCGTTTATTTCATTAAAATTATAAATACTCATTTGATGTTAAGTTATGTGCTTTACCCTTAATTAACTAATGTGTTAAGCATAAAAAATAGAAAAAATTACATATGAAACTAATAAAATAAACCGAATAAAAAATCGGAGTATAATTGCTAATTTAATTACTCTAAGCGGATATAAATTCTATGCTCACTTTTTACACCTCTTTGTATTTCTCATTTTGGCCACAACTGTATATGGTTTGGTGGTGATTTAGGGGTTGCTTTTGCAGCATCATTAAGTGCGCTACTCGTGCTCAAGGTCGCGACTCGCACACACCCGCCTAAAGAGAAAGAAGAAGAGAGCCGTGTCCTGTGTCTTTGGCTCCATCCTTGTGTGCGTGGCAGCATCTCGCACACTCGCCCGCTTTCCGCATGTGTATTCCGGCGACACGTGTATTCGTCCGTCACATACTCGTACACATTCTTTCGTGGTAGATTTCATACCAGGCGAGCATAATCCGAAGAAGGCGGAGCAACATGTCAGCATAACTCGACATTCCGAACGCACAGCTGCCCATGTGTGCGTCTATTGGAATCAGTGTGCGTGCGACGAACGCACACACATGCGGGCAAACATGCATAAACATATTCAAGGGGGTTGAGTTTTTGCGTATACGCAATAACTGGAAAAGCTCGAAAAGCTCAGCGAGGCTTACAAATTGGTTTGAGGCACTGATAATGGTTAGAAGAAAAAAATATATACGAAAACAATTAAATGAAATATAATGTACAAAAACAATACATCTTTAAATAATGGTAATTTTCAGTAATTCAGAAGATAGATTTTATTTGTCTAGATGGGAAACATTTCTCAAATTTTAAAAAGTAACTTAAAATACTTAAAATACAAAAAACAAGAAAGAAAGCAAACTTCGGCAAGCCGAAGTTCATATACCCTTGCAGCTATCGCAAGAATTAAATATTTTTGAAAACATTAAAATTATGATTTACTTGCGTATATGTTTAAAAACATTGAAGCTATGACGATTTGCAGCTTAATTATTTGATTGTTCTTTTATATATTTTTATTATTTGTATGGGAGCTATATGATATAGTCGTCCGATTTTGATGAAATTTTAACCATAATTCTGAAATATTTAACCATTGCTATATGTCGAAGAACTAAACAAAAAATTAAAAAACAGCAAAGTTATAATTTTTTTTCTTTTATTTTCCGGTTGTTCCTATGGGAGCTATATGCTATAGTCGTCCGATTTTGATGAAATTTTAACCATAATTCTGAAATATTTAACCATTGCTATATGTCGAAGGACAAAACAAAAAATTAAAAAACAGCAAAGTTATAATTTTTTTCAATTGTTTTTCCGATTGTTCCTATGGGAGCTATATGCTATAGTCGTCCAATTTTGATGAAATTTAAACCATAATTCTGAATTATTTAACCATTGCTATATGTCGAAGAACTAAACAAAAAATTAAAAAACAGCAAAGTTATAATTTTTTTTCAATTATTTTTCCGATTGTTCCTATGGGAGCTATATGCTATAGTCGTCCGATTTTGATGTAATTTAAACCATAATTCTGAATTATTTAACCATTGCTATATGTCGAAGAACTAAACAAAAAATTAAAAAACAGCAAAGTTATAATTTTTTTTCAATTATTTTTCCGATTGTTCCTATGGGAGCTATATGCTATAGTCGTCCGATCCGGCTCTTTCCGACTTATATACTACCTGCAATAGAAAGACAACTTTTGGGAAAGTTTCATGCAGATAGCTTTAAAACTGAGAGACTAGTTTGCATATAAACGGACGGACAGACGGACAGACGGACAGACTGACAGACGGACGGACAGACGGACAGACGGACGGACAGACGGACATGGCTAGATCGACTCTACTAGTGATGCTGATCAATAATATATATACTTTATAGGGTCGGAGATGTCTCCTTCACTGCGTTGCAAACTTCTGACTGAAATTATAATACCCTCTGCAAGGGTATAAATATGTATTACAAAGCTACTTTAGCAATCAACATAAGGTAAAGAATTTTTTATAGTTTCAGTCTAGATGTTTTATAAATATCCTCTTTTTATTATTTTTTGTTTGCTTAATTCAGTGAGTATACTTAATCTACCAATTTTCAATTCTATATATCTCAATTCAATTTAGTGAAACTACATAGTTGGTTCGTTTAGAACCAATAACGTTTGATAATTTCGCTTGCTTTTCCTATCGAACTCAATAATATTAGCCAATAATTTGGGCCATTTGCTAAATTGTTTGCGCGATAAGCGTAGCAACGGCGACTTTTCAATGCCAACAACAAGGACAATGGTGCGCCGGCCGACACTTTAAACAAAGGCAACGGACGAAGACGAAGGGCGAAATCGAGGGGCCAAGGCGATCCCTGGACAATGACTGTGACAATAATGACGAGGACGATAGCACTTGTCATTGTGTGTGCCGCTCGAAATTGCCTTTGAACATACACACACACACGTCTGGATGTATCTGCCGCTGAAAATCGGACAAAGCAGGGGCAGAACAACTTCATAGGTAGCTCGGCAAAGTTGTCATTGCGTGTTGTCAGCAAACTGGCGACAAAGCTTATCTCAGATGGACACACACAAAGCCGCACAGCCGGAGTCAGATGCTTAGATACTCGTACTCGTACTCGCACTCGTACAATGGGGTACAAAAAGGGGTCGGGAAGATGAGATCTCGCAGGGCACTCGAACAGCTGTCCCCCTCAATAGCCATGGTTAAGTACAACTTTCGCAATGCTGCAACCCGGTAATTAAACTAGTCAAGTGGCGCTCAAGTCTCATCTTCAACTGCAGGTCATAAATTTGATTGTCGTTTCCCGGCCGGCTCCCTCTATCACGGCATATTCTCGAGGCCCAACCCATCAGCCGGTCGACTTTGTCGCTTATCTAAAGTCAAAACAATTTTCATATATTTTCCCCCGTAACGGGAGGTTTTTTTCATTGCCGAAGGACATGCCATTTCGCAATTAGCATT